AGCAGGAATTATAGCCCAATGGACTATTGGTGCAGTTAGAGGTTTCCCTACTGAAAGTGCTACTCAGAATCTCAAAGAACAAGTTTATGTGCCTTCAATGTGGTGATAAAAATTGTATGTTTAACTTCAACAGAGCTTAGCAAGTCCCGAGGCATTAGTTGGTAGTTATTGTTTGATTATTTATTTGGGTCTTCTCCGGAAGTGGATCATATCATATCAAATGGGATCAAGATTGCAAAAATTGGTTGTGTATTCTGCTCCAACCATGTCATCCCATACCACTTTTGCATGAGCAGGAGGCAGGTGTCAATTGAAAATTTTGTAGGTAATTATTGTATTGTACACTATTCTTGTAATGAGTTTGCAATTTGTGTTTCCAATAATAATACTCTTCACTTTCTTCTTCATTGTTTACCTTATGCTTCCTTCATTCTGTACATGCAAGAATCCATGATCATGTACCCGTTTTAGATTTGGATACTATTGATTTTGAACTATTGAACCTAATTAGAATGTCTGCTCAAATTAGTCTTACTCAGATTTTGCATAATGACGTGTAAGGTGTGAGAAATTGATTCCTAAAATTAGATGTCCCGAAGAATATGTGCTTGGCAGTGCTTTAATAATTGTTCTGTGACAAAATGCAAACATAAGCACGTTCTGCCATCGGGGCCGGAAGAAACTGAAATGGAACATGAGGAATTGTATAATATGATTGCTTGATTGACCACGGTTCTGCTAAGCTACAAATCAAACTCCAGTTTATCTTCATGCACCTGTGTTGGTCATGGTGCGAATCCCAAAATAATCAACACTCTACAGGTGTGTTTGATTACTCATTCACACATATTTTAATGCACTCAAACGAAAAAATATGAGTGTGGATGGATTGAGTTCAACATACTTTTAACTATTCTAAACGGTAAAGCAAACATCCACTACATCATTTCCGTTCATCTTTTGTCTTGGAGTAATGTTCTAATAGATAATACAAAATTTACATTACCAGAAAAAAAAAATACAAACTTTGTACAAAAAAGATAATACGAACCAGCACTGGCAACACACTAAGCTACGTAGTACATAGACCTTTGCATGGTTATGAGATCCCTTAATAAAATGAACTACAAGGTTTTTCGCCTCTAACGTCTTTTGATGATTTTTATTCATCAAAATAGTCTGTTTTAGAAGTACTTTCTCAAAGAATTTCGTTGCATGGGTCGGAGATCAAAACAATCACATACGTTCATAACATTTTAAAACAAGTACATATTTATGATTTTACAATATTTAAAACAAAGATATTTAATATTTATCAATTATCATCAATCTGAAATCTTTAATTATCATCAATATTAAATAATCAATATTTAATACGTTCATAACATCAGTTAGGGCAAAGATCCTGAGCACCTACAACTTATTCTGCTATTTTTCCAATAAATTGTTTTTCATAATTGTCCAAGTCCAACATTAATGGGTTTTACTTATTCCTACCAAGTCCAAACATTTGGCCATACTAATTGAGTCTTTGACGTCAAGCCCAATAATGGCTTGTAAATGTAATAGTGCTAAACCTTATTAAAAGAGATATGTCTTGGACATTACTATATTTGTGTACGCATTAAGAGAAATTAATAAAATGTCATAAAAGAAAAAAATATATATCAAGGATAATATTGCGAGTTCTAAATGACTAATATTCGATAGTTTAACTGGTATTGCAATTGGTTCTCAAGATTAGGGATAATCTTAATGTGATTAAGATTTCATGTAAGAATATAAAAAAAAATTGTATCCTTAGATATTCACAGATAAAATTGATAGAAAATGAATACTATAAATGAATATCCATAGATAATAATGGGTACAAATATTTTTATACATACATGTTAATGGGACGGGTATTGATATTATAATATTTGTACTTGTAATTGTGGTACATGCTAATATTCAATTACATAATTATATTTTTTTTTAAAAATTGTAAAAATAAAGTACTTTAACAATTAAATTTAGTTTTTAAATTGAAGAATCTTGATTAATAAAATTGAATAATATTTAAATAATTTGAGTTTTGACTTTTGAACTATTACTTTTTAAAATTATTAAAATAAAAATAAATTAGTATTAAAACATTTTTAAAAATTATTTATTTTATTTTAAAATAAATATGCACAAATATCTATCGATATATGTGAATATTAAAAAAAAATACATAAATATTTATTTAATGGATACTCGCATAAATATGAAAACAAGTATGGAGAGAACATTTGTTCAGTAGTATGGGTAGTAGACTATTATCCGTTCCCATCCGATCCTATTGACAACCCTAATCTTAAAAGAAAATAAATAATTCTACCAATAACATAGTAAAAAAATTAAAAACATAAATATTCTTTTTTACTTCTTAATAGTGAATAAACAATTCAAAAGCTCATCATTTTATTTACTTCTCTATGTCAAACTCAAAGCATTAAAAAGAAATGCTAACGCATATTGATTGTTAAGAATTTTTATTTTTTCTTTTTAGTTCGTTCCTAGAATATTTACTGCCGATAACAATAACTAATAGAATTTGTGTTTTATAAGTAATGTTTCTTAAGAAAATAAAATAATGGCGTAAAAAATAACGTATAATTTAACTTAATTAAAATTAGTCAGAACTCATATTACCTTTTTAAATACCATAGTCTTGTAAGAATACAATAAAAATAGAGTTCACTTAATCCTACCTTGAATCCTAACACATACCGTAAAATATTTTCTGGTCTCTTGATATTTTGACAGGTATAATAGCTACAATTATCACTATATGGAAGGGGAAACGATGAGAGTAATGTATGAGCCCTTGTTTGTGAAGTACAAGGTTGATGTAGTGCTTGCTGGTCATGTTCATGCCTATGAACGATCTGTAAGAGCTACCAACACTTCAATTCCGCATTTGATGTTTCTACATCATTAGGCTTGCATTCAAATTTGAAAAGATAAATATGTAAGTAAACGTCAGTTTCTGTCCCTAAAAAATTTAGTGGGAAATATAGTACAAAAATATTGTACAAATAATGAACTTCAATAATCTTCTGTGAATTTGTATCTGATTGATGTGTTACTATGTATCAGGAGCGTATTTCCAATGTTGCATACAATGTTGTAAATGGTCTTTGCAGTCCTATAAAAGATCAATCAGCTCCTGTATATATAACCATTGGCGATGGAGGAAATCTTGACGGCTTAGCAACCAAGTAAGCTCTATAATATAAAACTTAGGTACAATATTATAAATACTGTTGGTGTTGTTCTCTAATCAAAACTGAACTTTCACCTCACTAATTTATATTTACATTTAATGTAAATCTTCAGTTCTGATTGAAGAACAGTACCTATAGTACTACTGTATCTAAGTTTTGTCTAGTTCTATATATGTAACATGATGAGTCTTTTCACATTTCTTACTTTTTTACCACTAAGTCTGTCTGACATAAACAACATTTGAGCTGCAGCATGACAGAACCACAGCCAGAGTACTCAGCATTCTGAGAGGCCAGCTTTGGACATGCCATTTTTGAGATAAAGAACCGAACTCATGCTCACTTCGGCTGGCACCGAAATCAAGATGGAGTTGCTGTGGAGGCTGATTCTGTTTGGTTTTACAACAGATACTGGCACCCAGTTGATGATTCTACCGCTCATGTTTCACATTAACACAAAAAGTCACTGGTCTCTGTATCTCTGTCACATAGTTGCAAATTGCTTGCTTCTATTCTGAAACACTTTACACTCATCACATGATTTTAGGTGGCACTGGATAAACACATAAAACAGCTACTTATCAAATCCATCACCCAATAAGCTTCTCAAGATACTTTGCACCCCGTGAATTGAATAGTAGATGACGGTTGAAAGTTGAAACTGGAAGCTGGTCTACCTTTTGAATTGCATTGCTCCATAAACTACTAAAAATATCAAAACCACTAGTTTTGTTTTTCCTCTCCCAACTTCCATTGCCCTTGTTCCTTCATAAAGTATATATGAATGTACAAGAGCTTAGGAGACTGGTGTTTTATTGTGCATTTTGTTTGGAGACTCTAACTTAGCTTGCTTCCCAAGCTTCTAAGTTAGAAGCTTGCTCCACAAGCCTCCTAAACCGTCTAGGATGGTCAAGCTAAGCTAACCATGGTTCTCTTGAACCATAGTTAGCCTAGCTTGCACCATAAGTTTCTCCCACCATATATAAACCTTTTTCTTACCTTTGTAATCACTTTTGATGATATTGATTGAGTGAGATCAGAATTTGCAAAAAAATTCTCTCTTCCAAAAGTCTTAAACCTTTTTGATATTCATCCAATTCTCTTATGGAGAACGGGCCGTTCCAGAGGGAGAACGGGCCATTCTGGAGGGGAGTACGAGCCGTTCTGATTTCAGAACGGGTCGTTCTGCATGTAATTTATGTGCGTGTTGAGGGGTGCAGAACGGGCCGTTCTAGATTCGGTACAGGCCGTTCTGGCCACTCCTTAATGTCTATAAATAGAGGTTGTGAGCAGTTGAGGAGGAGAGGTTTTTTTAGAGAGAAGTTCTAGAGAGAAGGGCTCTGGACTAGAAAGCTGACTTTTGAAGGATTGAAGTTCTGGGTTGAGCTTTGGAGAGGGAATTCCGCTTCTTGGCTATCCTGATCCAATCTTCAGGTAAGGGAAGCTAGATTCTTGCAGATTGTTGGCTGAAAATGAGTTCTAGAAGCTCATTGTTGTTTAATGTTTTGGTGATTTTGGCTGAGATGGAAGAAAACTCATTTTCGGGGTTTTCGGGGTCTTTGGGTGAAATTCGGGTCTTTGACTTCTTTATGGTTACATGTGTGAAAAGGTTGTATGTTTGAGTTGCTGATTGAAAATGTGGTATTTTAAACGGATGTATGTGCTAGAAATGTGAAGTTTTGCAGGATTTGGGAAGTTTTTCGAAAGTTGAGGGTTGCTGCTGAGCTTCGCGCTAGGCGCCGTTCTTCGCACCGGACGCGTGAGCACCAGGGGTCTCCATTTAGGCAAGCCCGTCAGGCGCAAAGGTGTGTGCGCCGGGCGAGCTTGAGAATGTGATCCTCTGGATGGCCCACGCCGGGCGTGACTTGGATCGCGTCGGGCGCGATATTAGTTGTAACATATTTTTGGGATTTCTGGTGCCGCGCCGAGCGCGACCATGTCGCGTTGGGCGTGAGGACTCCTTGGGAGTCTCTGCCATGGGGCACTAGGCATAATTTGAATTGCGCCGGGCGCGCTGGTCCCTTGGTGCTCTCTAGTTGTACCACGCCGGGCGCGACCCTGAGCGCACCGGGCGCAGTTATGATATTTGATGTTAAGCTGTTATATGTAGAAATTTGTTGATAAATATGCTGAGCTGAGCTGTAGATGTTAAATATTGCT